GGGCCGCCGCCACCTCCGCGGCTGCCCGGGCCCTGGGCCAGGGGCCCCGTGAGCGCCCTCCCCCGCCCCCCGCACAAGCCGGGACGAAAACCCTGGGCCGCGTGGACTTCAGACGTCCAGCTTCCGGGTTGTTGGGGTTTTTTTGAGGTTTTAAAGAAACGATCATTTCAGTGGCGTGCTGGGCGGCAGGGGAGGGGGAACCCTGTTAGTTTTGTCACACTTTGGGAAAATAAAGCGCTGGTTTCCTAACTCGGGGCGCTAATCGAAATAAAGGAATGTGTACTTCAGAAGCCACATCCAAAGTATATGCAACTGGTGAAGGAAGGATTTGTGGTTGCTAAGCAGAGGCAGAGCATGTTTAGTTCTGTAACTTAGGATGTTGACTTAAGTTCAGGAATGTAACCCTGATAGAATAAGCAGAGTATTTTCATTGTGCTGCTCACCTGGGGGAGGGGGATTGTTTTCCTTGTGAAGTGAAGCCCCAGATTTCCCATTACTCCTTCCTACTGTGTATGTTATTTTATTGACCTTGTATCCAAAAAGAGATTTTTAAAGAGAAGGTTTTTAAAAAGAACTCCCTATGCCTGTTTTGTGTTCTCCTTTGCCAAAAAAACAAAACACCTCATTACTTTACATGGATTGTGTCTGCACCATTTGAATGGTTCTATTCATAAATCAGGAAACTTTTTCTGTTGCTTCTAGGAACATTTAATTGGTTTTAATCCAATGTTTGAATCCCAGTATCAAACATAAATGAACAATTAACTTCTTGAGCTTGTGTGCACTTGGGAAACTATTATATTTCACCGCTATTGCTGAAATATTTCAGTTTCTCATCACACTGGACCCATTCTTTTTCAGAAAATCCTGAGCTAACATCTCCTTTCACACTAACTACAGCTCACTCCAGTGATTTCTGCTGCAAGATTAGGATGGGCAAAAATCAGAAGGATGTGACTCCATTCAAGCAGATGATGTGGGATATAATCACTTCATCCTTAGAAAGCCAAAATGAACTAATAGGCAGAATACTAAGATACTGATATCCTTATCCATAAACATTGCTTTAAAAAATTTTATCAAGGGCCAATTTTGAAAGGAGCAAGTACTAAGTCTTCCTTGGTTGAACAAAGAAAGGCACAAGGGATAATTTGAAAATGCTGCTACACTTCCCTAATGCCATCTTATCACTGCGTCACTCAGCCTTTGAAAGCTTTAAGGATATAGTTTAATTTACTTGTTATTAGGAGGCCTAGAGTGACTCCTGCTGGCAAACATTCAGTTTATTTCTGCAATTACTAGTTCATTGGGTCAACTTAAAAAACAAAATGCAGCGGTCCCAACTGGAAACAATTATTGCAACCATTATTCTTGTTGCTTTCAGGATGATTTTAGTCTCACAAAATTCCAAGGATTGTGATTATGGCAAGCTCCTTCGCTGTAACACCTCCTTTCCAACCTAAAGCAGCCTGTTTTTCTGGTTCTGACGCTTTCTTAAGAGTGTGCAGAACTAAAATACCTGTGTAAGGAGTTGTGCTCCTAACCAACGAATAGCTATTTCTCATTTACTTAATTTGAATCTTCAAAGGCTACAAATATATACACATTAAGGCCTGTCACTTAACCTTCCATACTATAGGCTCTTCCCATATTATGTAATAAGTCCTACAGACATAAAACACCCCACCTTTTAGGGCTATTCTACACAATTCTTTATTATAAAAAATCCTTTTCCAAAAGGTTGTATATTAGAGTTTTGCTCAATTCACAAGAGTAAATATAAACTCAGCAGAACTCCATATTAAAAACAATGTAAGTTGCAATCGGGGAAGAGGGGCTAAGCTGCCTACCTTTGTGCAATCCTAAAAGGTCAAAACCAAATCAAAACCAGATTTAGAGCACAACCAGACACCTAAACACAAATTCATAAGCCAATTTAGAAATAAATCCATAAATAATCCAAAAATGATAACTTGTAACTTTTCCACTATCATCAACCAACAGTAACCTGGTTAAGCCATGGAACGCCCTGGGAAATATCAAATGTAGAGATTACCTACAGTCTCACTCCAAGACCAATATATGAAATCCAGGGATAAAACACAGCCATACTGGCTCTCCTGGCTCCCCTCAAAGCACAACTACCAAATGGAGGAATGCCTGTGTGTATGGTATGCATCATATGTCTACTCAAAACTGCCTGGGAGATTTAAACTGAGTATCATTCTATACTAGAGAGCTCCCCCATTCGCAAGTTTAAAGCTCTTAAGCAACAAGAGACAATAAGGGTGTATTTTATGAAAAAAGGGTGTAACCAACTATACTTGTATCAACAAGCTAATAAAAGTATTCACCTAAGCACATTTGCGCAGAGGAGGGTAAAGGTTGGGAACTGATATGCACTAAGGAGTGTCCTAGGTAGTTAGTGGGTGTTTTATTTTTCTGCCTTTAGAACCAGATAAATGTGATATTCAAACAACAAGGAGCTAAGCTTTGAAGTCTGAGCAAGTACCAGTCAATGTTGTTCAGTTTTTCCCATCAAATCTATCATACCTATGGTTGTAAAAAGAGCTCACCACTAAAAAATGATAAACTAGTTTGTCTCTGAGAATAACATATTATTCTTTTTAGACTAACAAAGTAAGTGAAACAAATAGCAAACATGTTACACACTGGACCCAACAGCAGTATGCAGATGTGTATGTTACCCCTTTATTCAGCTTCCAAAAGCCACTGGCTCTTTCTCACAACTGTTGTATTAAAGGCCAGTCATTCACATTTCACACTGTCCTTTCTACATCTGAAAAGATCTTTTTAAAAACAGAACCTTTTGAAATTGTTTATAATAGATGTGGGAAAGACAGACATCACCAAGTCCACCTGAAGCATTTTCAAAGAGATTGGCTACTGAAAACAAGTTAGCAAAATACAATTCTTTGCAAAATATGGAAAGTTTTGGTTATAGATGGAAGCCAAAAATTTGAACCTACTATGGGGGCAATTTCCTTATGTGGATCTTATTCAGAGAAATTAAGTTCTATAATTGTTCCCACATCTATGATCCAGCTACAACTAACAGCCCTACCTACATAAGTGTATAACAACACACTAATCCTTCTGTTCTCTCCTTTCTGTTCTTTTTATCTTGTGTTCTGAAACCTTTCCACTGATGAAAATGAATTATAGCACTGGCTGGAGATATACAGATATAGAGATACACACACATATATATATCTATACACATGTACATATACATATATATATATCTATCCCATATCTATACACACACATGTTTTTTAAGAGGTATTTTGGTTCTTAAAGACAAAGTTACTTTTTGATTCAAGAACTAAATAAAACAAATTTATTTTCACTGAAAAATAACCACTGCAGTGAATTTAATGATATCAATCTAACTCCTTTGATACAAAATGCGAGTTGAAAGCAGCTTGAAGGGGAATGCCTATTGCAATCAGTACATGTGAACCTGCACAGCTTTGTAACCAAACGTCTAGCACCATTGAGGTACGAAGCATGCCAGCTGGGACGGCATTGTGCACCACAAAGTGTGGGTTGTAAGCCTAAGTCCTGAACACAAACCCTGGTTTCCAAGTTAGCAGGTGCTGAAAACACAGCAAATGTCACGCTTGCAACTCACTGGATGGAAGAGCTCTGGGTAAAGTAAGCTAAAAAGAACAGAGCAACAGTTAAAACTTAGTTCAATTTGATTTTACTTTGTTTGGTTTTGGGGTTTTTTTTTGCAGTTAATAGTAGTTATCGGTGTTATGTGCTACAAGAAAATACAAGCATGAAGAAACAGAGATTGAAAAGTTTATTTATGGTAAATAAGCAAAAATAAATATAACGAAGGCTTTTCACTATCTACATGCAAAGTTACTGGCATATGTAAAACTTACCAAACCTATTTTACTATTTTAATACTAAGATTCAAAAGCATAATTAATGCCTTGCCTTTCCCTCATCTATTTATGATCTTAGCTGAAGTAGACTCTAATTAGTATCACTATAACATGGTTAGTTATCCATAACCTAGTTTGCCTCAGTCACTCCACCCAAAACGTAGCTAAAAACAAGTTACAGTATTTTCATATTGCTATACATTGAATTTAATCTAGAAAATATTTCAACAGCATACCCAAACTAAATGTTTATTTTATCATCTTCAAATCATTTCAATTATTTTTCTTAAATATTCTTTAGTGGAATTCAGACTTAGTATTTGAGATACAAGCCCAAAATTTAACTTAATTTTTCTCTTCTGTCAACTATCTGCCATATAAGTCACGCCTCAAGAAAAATCTATTTTTAACTCATCCCCAGTGATATGCTTAAAGCTACTGCTATCCTGACTATCCCCATAAAAATGACACTGAGTGAATTTCATTTTCGTTAGGTAGAGAGGAAACTGTGAAACTAGATAGTCTGTGATTTCACAGAGTTTAAATACCCAATCTAAAGACTGAATCCCTTGGATTTAAGATATGAAGAAAAAAAATTAGTCTCTGGCTCCAATGGGCAGAACATTCCTGGGAGCAGTATGAAAAGAACATTTCCCCTAGATACGATATTAGCCTGTGAATTTCTTAACTCTCCTCAGCAGTCTGTCAATCTTCTACATTAACCAAAAGCAAGGGTGTTTTATCATACCCATTACTGTTTATAAGAGGGACTAGCC